AGTCAGGTGAGTGAGCAAGTAAGAGAATGAACGCCTGTCCCGGCCGGTGTGGCTCAGTGGGTAGAGCGTCGGCCTGGGGAACGAAGGGTTCTGGGTTCGATTCCAGTCTAAGATGTGGACCTCGATGGCAGGCTCCTCCCCGTCCGGGGCCCTGGTTGGGGTGCGTGCAGGAGGCAGCCCATCGATGTGTCTCTCTCCCATCAATGTTCCTCCTCTCTCTCTCTCTCTCTCTCTCTCTCTCTCTCTCTCTCTTTTTCCACTCTCTCTAAACATCACTGGGAAACTATCCTCCGGTGAGGATGAACAAATAATAAATAAAAATAAGAATCAGCTGAAATCGCTCTTGGGGGGGGGGGCGTGCACCCCCCCAGGCACATCGGAGGGGGGCAGAGGACCCAGGCGACTGGGAACCCACTGCTGTGGGGCTGTCCACACATCCAGTGGCTCAGTGGGTAGAGCGTCGGCCTGCGGACTGAAAGGTCCCGGGTTCGGTTCCGGTCAAGGGCATGGACCCAGGTTGCGGGCACATCCCCAGTGGGGGGCGTGCAGGAGGCAGCTGGTCGATGTTTCTCTCATCGACGTTTCTAGCTCTCTCTCCCTCTCTCCTCCTCTCTGTAAAAAAAAAAAAAAAAATCAATAAAATATATTTTAAAAAATAAATAAATAAAATAAGAATTAAATGCAAAAAAATAAAAAATAAAAGAATGCAATGCCTGGCCTGGGCCAATGAACGGAGACGGGGTGGGGGTGCGGGGATGGAGGGCTGGGGAGGGGCATTCTCAGCCCCGGGGGGACAGAGGGGTCCCCTCTGTCGGGCAGCTGGCACGGGGGGTGCTCAGGGAAGGCTGGCCGGACCCCAGTATTAGATGGTTCGTTCGTTATTGTTATTCTGATTAATCCTCCCCCCCCCCGCCTGGATATTTCTCCATTGATTTAGAGAGAGTGGGAGAGAGAGGGAGAGAGACAGAGAGACACATCGATGGGAGAGAGACACATCACTGGGCTGCCTCCTGCACGCACCCAGACCAGGGCCCCGGCCGGGGCAGGGCGGGGTGGGGGGGGGCTGCCACCAAGGTGCATGCCCGTGACCAGGAATCGAACCCAGAGGGACCCTCCCATCCACTCTACCCACTGAGCCACACCGGCCGGGGCTGGGAGGAGCTTCCTTTCTCGTGCGACGCGTTTTCTGAAAGATTGTGTAGCTCAGTGGATAGAGCAAGGGTTCCTCTTACTCTTTGGGGGGGCGTGCACCCCCCCCCAGGCACATCGGAGGGGGACAGAGGACCCTGGCGACCGGGAGTCCACTGCCGAGGGGCTGTCCACACATCCACATGGCTCTGAGATTAAGAACATTTCTCTGGAGAGCCGCGTGTTTTATTTACACGTGGACTTCCCCTCACGCCACGTCTCCCACACAGACTCGCCCAGGCCGTGGGGTTTTGTGGAAGAGCCACACGCAAGGGGCCCAGGAGCCGCAGGTGGCTCGCGAGCCGAGGTTTGCTGACCACGTTTTTTTATTATTGTTTTGTTTAATATATTTTATTGATTTTTTTTTTTTTTTTTACGGAGAGGAAGGGAGAGGGAGAGAGAGCTAGAAACATCGATGAGAGAGAAACATCCATCAGCCGCCTCCTGCACACCCCCCACCGGGGATGTGCCTGCAACCAAGGTGCATGCCCCTTGACCGGAATCGAACCTGGGACCCTTGAGTCTGCAGGCCGACGCTCTATCCACTGAGCCACACCGGTTTCGGCAAGAACGCTGCCATCTTGTGTTACAGAAAACCCCCGCCCTTCAGCTGTGGGCACCGCCAGCTTTTTGTGATGGCGTGACGGTCAATTTGCATATATGCTTGGGGTTGTTTTGTGTTTTTTATAATTGATTTCAGAGAGGAAGGGAGAGGGAGAGAGAAAGCGAGAAACATCAGCCATGAGAGAAGATGGAGGACCGGCTGCCTCCTTCCTGCCCGCCCCCTACTGGGGACCGAGCTCGCAACCCGGGCCTGTGCCCTGACGGAGAATCGAACCCGGACCTCCTGGTTCACAGGTCGACCTCTGGGCCTCACTGGCCGGGCACACCCCCAGCATTTTATAATAGAAATCAGAAAGGCTCACAGTTCACCCCCAAAAAGAGGAGGTGAGACAAGGGACAGAGACACGGAACTGGAGATGTGTGGGGGAGGCGGGCTCTAGTCCGGAGGACAGAGTGGGGCAGTCGGGGGGGGGGGGGGGGGGAGTGCACAGGATCGGGGACCAGTGCACCTGCGAGGAGGGGGTGTCAGAGGCCACAGGAGATGGGACCCCACCGCCCGGGGCCCCCTGCCCCCTCCCCCGGGGCCACGGGCGTGACAGACGGACGGACGGCTCAGACCTCACGGGCCACCCCACCGCCTAGACCCCAAGTCCAGGCCCGGGGCCAGCCGGTGGGGCGGGTGGGGCAGGGCGGGGTGGAGAGGTGAAGGGCCATGACCTTTGCACCCTGCCCGAAAGGACACGCTGCCCAGTCCGTCCTGCTGTGTTTGCCAAGCTCTTACTCTCTGCAAGGACACCGCCTGGTGCAGAGCGGGCAGGCGAGGGGGGGGTTTGGGGGGGGGGGGGTGAGCTGGTGGCCAGCCCCCCACGAACTGAGGTCCAATCAGAATTCTCTCTCTCGGGCTCCAAACCTGAGCCGTCTCCCCCGGAGACTCTGCCTTCGCTCCGAGAACTTAGAGATGCCGGCCAGGCCGGTGTGGGTCAGGGGTTAGCGTCCACCTCGGAACCAGGAGGTCAGGGTTCGATTCCCGCTCAGGGCACAGGCCCGGGGTTGGGGGCTGGATCCCCAGGGGGGGCGTGCAGGCGGCAGCCAGTCCGTGATTCTCTCTCCTCGTGGACGTGTCCCTCTCTCCGCCTCCCCCTGCCTCTGACATCCATGGAAACACGTGTTGTGAAAAGAGGAAAAAGACTCGTTTCGGTCACAAAGCACCTTTCTGAGGCTCCACACACACACACACACACACCCGCCCCCGCGGGCACAGCCCTGCGCTCCCTCGCCCCCACTGGTACCCCAAACCTGAGCAGGGCCAGGCTGAGCCCCCACGCCCCCTTTCTCTCTCTTCCAAGCAGGACCCCCAAGTCGCACCTCCCCAACCTGCCGCGTCCTCCTTCCCTGGACACGGGACACAGGACACGGGACATGGGACATGGGACACGAGAGATGTGACACAGGACATGGGACACGGGACACGGGACACAGGACACGGGAACCGCCGGGCACTGGGGACTGGAACCCCCAGTCCAGCGCCATGTGGGGGGCTGTCCTCCAGCCTTCCCGCTGCTCAAACCTCACAGCCCCCCCACCCGGCCAGTTCCCCCCGAGTCTGTGGGACCCAGCTGCTCCCTCGTCTATCCCCGCACCCCAACCCCTCACGGCCTGCTGGTCCGCCTGAACCCCCTGCCACCACCCCCCCCCCCCGCCTACCTGTCCCCCTGTCCCCTCACCAGCGCCCCCTGTCCTTCCACCCACGCCTCCCTGTCCCTCCCAGGCACCTCCCTGTCCCCCACAGGCGCCCCTGCCTCTCTGTCCCCCCATCTGCCCCCCAGGCACCCTCCTGCCCCCCCACCTGCAAGCCCCCTCAGCCAGGCACTGCGGGGTCACACCCTCCGGCCCCCCAGGCCCAGGTCTAGCAGGGCCTCTCCGAACACCCCACCTTCACACCTTCACCCCTCATTCCATGTCCCCCCAACGTCCCCACCCTTCACCCCTCATTCCCTGTCCCCTCCAACCCCCCACCCTTCACCCCTCACTCCCTGTCCCCTCCAATCCCCCACCCTTCGCCCCTCACTCCCTGTCCCCCCAACCCCCCACCCTTCACCCCTCATCCCCTGTCCCCTCCAACCCCCCACCCTTCATCCCTCATTCCCTGTCCCCTCCAACCCCCCACCCTTCGCCCCTCACTCCCTGTCCCCTCCACCCCCCCACCCTTCGCCCCTCACTCCCTGTCCCCCCCACCCCCCCACCCTTCGCCCCTCACTCCCTGTCCCCTCCAACCCCCCACCCTTCACCCCTCATCCCCTGTCCCCTCCAACCCCCCACCCTCCAACCCCCCACCCTTCACCCCTCATTCCCTGTCCTCCCCAGCCCCCCAACCTTCGCCCCTCACTCCCTGTCCCCTCCAACACCCCCACCCTTCACCCCTCATCCCCTGTCCCCTCCAACCCCCCACCCTCCAACCCCCCACCCTTCACCCCTCATTCCCTGTCCTCCCCAGCCCCCCAACCTTCGCCCCTCATCCCCTGTCCCCTCCAACACCCCACCCTTCACCCCTCATTCCCTGTCCCCCCCAGCCCCCCAACCTTCGCCCCTCACTCCCTGTCCCACACCCCCCACCCCGCACGCTGGCCTCCGCTGGCCCCTGGGCCCTGCGTCCTCCCTGGGCCTGGCACAGCCCTGCCCCAGCAGGAACCACACACCCCCAAACCCCAAAACCGGGGGAGCGGTCAGCCCAGGTGCCCCCCCATTCCCGCCGGAGGCTCCTCCTGCTGCTACAGGTGCGGGGGGGGGGGGCACCTGCTCTCCGTCCTGGGACCCGGGAGGGGCGGGGCGGGGGGGGGAGGATGGGGGACGGGGGGGGTATGCGCGGGGGGGGAGGGGAGGATGGGGGGACAGGGGGGGATGCGCGGGGGGGGGGCGGGGGCGGGAGGGAAAGTTTGGGGCCGGACTCGGGTCTCTGCTGGGCCGGGTCCTCTGTCCTTGGTCCCCGGTCCCCGCGCCCTCGGCCCCCCCACCCCCGTACCCGCGCCCCCCGCTCCCCGCGCCCCCCGCTCCCCGCGCCCCCCTGTCCCAGGTCCCCGCGCCCCCCATCGCCGCGCCCCCCCGCGCCCCGCGCCCTTCGATCCCCGTGTCCCCCTCCCCGCTCCCCGCGGTCCCCGCGCCCCCCGCTCCCCGCGCCCCGGGTGACGGCGTCCTCGGGCGCGGGGTTCGGGGCGCGGGGCTGGGGGCCCTGGGCGGCGCCCGCTACTCACCGGGCGGGCTGGCGGCGGCGGGGGCGGCCATGGCGGGTGGGGGCGTATCCGGGCGGCGGGCTCGGGTCCGGGGGGCGGGTCGGGTCCGGGGGGCGGGTTCGGGGTCCGGGTGCAAGGACACGGCCGCGGCGCACAAAGGCCGCTCCCGGCTCCGCTCCCGCCTTTGTCGCCGCCGCGCGGGGCGCGGGGGGCGCGGGTCCGGCCGAAGCACCGCGAGACTTGGCGCCGGCGGAGGCGCAGGTGCCGCGGGGACCCGGCCACCCCCCCAACCCCCGTGGGTCCGGCGCCGGGGGGCGCTGTCCGCTGCCGCCCCCGCGTCTGCCCGCACCCCTGCGCCGGCCGCTGCCCGGACCCACTGCCCCCACCGCCCCCCACCCCCACACCCCCAACCCCAACCACAACCCCCCACCCACACCCCCCCACCGCCCACCCCCCACCCCCCAATCCCAACCCCACACCCCCAACCCCACCCCTGCGCCAGGCCGCTGCCCCGACCCACCGCCCCCCACCCCTACCCCCACACCCCCCCCACCGCCCCCACCCACACACCCCCACCGCCCCCCACCTCCCTACCCCCACCCCCACCGCCCCCCACCCCCACCCCCACCGGCACCCCCACCCCCCAACCCCAACCACAACCCCCCACCCACACCCCCCACCGCCCCCCACCCCACCCCCCACCCCCACCCCCACCACCACCGGCACCCCGACCCCCCCTACCCCCACCCCCCCACCGCCCCCACCCCCACCCCCCACCCACACCCCCACCGCCACCCCCACCCCCACCCCCACCGCCCCCCCACCCCCACCCCCACCCCCACCGCCACCGGCAGCCCCACCCCCCTACCCCCACCCCCCCACCGTCCCCCCACCCCCACCAGCTCCCCCACCGCCCCCGCACCCCCACCCCCACCCCCGGCCCTGGGGGGCCACTCCGGGGGGCTCCCGGGGACGATGGTGCCATCGCCTTCCCCCCACCACCAGCCCCTGGGAGACTCGGAAAAGGGCCGGGCTGGTGTGGCCCGGTGGTTGGAGCCGGGCCGGTGTGGCCCGGTGGTTGGAGCCGGGCCGGTGTGGCCCGGTGGTTGGAGCCGGGCCGGTGTGGGTCGGTGGTTGGAGCCGGGCTGGTGTGGATCGGTGGTTGGAGCCGGGCCGGTGTGGGTCGGTGGTTGGAGCCGGGCCGGTGTGGGTCGGTGGTTGGAGCCGGGCCGGTGTGCTCGGTGGTTGGAGCCCGGCCGGTGTGGCCCGGTGGTTGGAGCGGGCCGGTGTGGGTCGGTGGTTGGAGCCCGGCCGGTGTGGCTCGGTGGTTGGAGCCGGGCCGGTGTGGGTCGGTGGTTGGAGCCCGGCCGGTGTGGCTCGATGGTTGGAGCCCGGCCGGTGTGGCTCGGTGGTTGGAGCCGGGCCGGTGTGGGTCGGTGGTTGGAGCCGGGCCGGTGTGGGTCGGTGGTTGGAGCCGGGCCGGTGTGCTCGGTGGTTGGAGCCCGGCCGGTGTGGCCCGGTGGTTGGAGCCGGGCCGGTGTGGGTCGGCGGTTGGAGCCAGGCTGGTGTGGGTCGATGGTTGGAGCCCGGCCGGTGTGGGCCGGTGGTTAGAGCCGGGCCGGTGTGGCTCGATGGTTGGAGCCGGGCCGGTGTGGCTCGGTGGTTGGAGCCGGGCCGGTGTGGGTCGGTGGTTGGAGCCGGGCCGGTGTGGGTCGGTGGTTGGAGCCGGGCCGGTGTGCTCGGTGGTTGGAGCCCGGCCGGTGTGGGTCAGTAGTTGGAGCCCGGCCGGTGTGGGCCGGTGGTTGGAGCCGGGCCGGTGTGGGTCGGTGGTTGGAGCCGGGCCGGTGTGGGTCGGTGGTTAGGCACCGGCCTAGGAACCGGGAGGTCGGGGCGCGGGCTGCATCCCCAGAGTGTGGGAGGCGGGTGGGAGGCAGCCCATCCCTGGTTCTTCTCTCACCACGGATGTTTCTCTCTTCCTTCCTTCCTCTCTGAAATCAATAAAAATATATCTTTACAAAAAACAACGTTAGCCC